ATTTTATAGTGAAGAATACAGAAACACAAGAAAACAACAGTGTTACTGCTAAGAACTGAATCACACTTGACATTTGTGAAATGTGAAGTGCAATTATTTGGCAGTCCACAGCATCCATGGACATCTCTGCAGGAAATGGATGGGGCTGTAGTCTGTTTTTGTTGGATTAATCTCTCCATGCCTTACAATAGAAAAGCTACAATTCAGTCTCTTTCATGACAGTGATGATTTCAATGTCTGTCCTGGGTGCTTGAAGACAGGTTGCTTAGGGGAATCAATTGTATTTCTTAATTCAACTCTATCAATAAGCTAAGCAATAAAGATCGATGAAAAGGGTAGATTGACTCTTTCAGGCATAGATTTCATCATTAAAATTAAAAAAAAAAATCCCTGTAAGCAATAGCATTGCAGGGAGCATTATACCCTTTGTCTGAGTCAAAGCAAAATTCATGGAATTAGCATCGCCAGACAATATATCCACTTGCTGGTGCTCCCTCGCTGTAATTTAAGAGAAAACTCCACCTGGTTCCATAAGAGGCTTAAACTGAAAAAAGAACAAGGGAGTATGGACAAACAAGAAGACCATTTCAACTCTACATTCTCATTTGACAGCATCTTCAAAGACCCTCGTATAAATGCCACTTGACCAGCCAACACAACATAGCCAAAGCAATAAACATAGCCTCCAACAACACAAAAGAGAATATAAAGAACTTAGTGCTCATAAACAAAAGAAAGAAAGAAAGATATGGCTAGGAAGAGAAAGGTCAGTGAAAGTGTTGAAGACAAGAACTCTAGTGAAGGAACCATGGCTTGGGATGACATGGTTAAGGAAGCTGCAGCAGCAGCAGCTCTAGGAGGAGCTAGGAGAGCTAGAAAGAGATTTGTTGGCGTTCGACAAAGGCCATCAGGTAGATGGGTGGCTGAGATTAAGGACACCATACAAAAAATAAGGGTGTGGTTAGGAACCTTTGATACTGCTGAGGAAGCAGCAAGAGCCTATGATGAAGCTGCTTGCTTGCTTCGCGGTGCTAATACGAGAACTAACTTCTGGCCTTGTTCTCCAACTTCTTCAACAACTCCAGCTCTTCCCTCAAAGATTACTAACCTTCTCCTCCAAAGGCTCAAAGCAAGAAACAACTCTTGTGATCCTTCCAAAACCTCTCAGCCCTACAATCTGCAGCAAAAACTAGTGGAGGAATATAGAGAACCAGCAACCGATTTCTCAGACACCCAATTCACTGATTTCCTCGACCATCCAGACGATTACCCCATGTGCAACGACAACACCATTAACACGAATGCTAGTGCATTGGATTGCATGACAACAAGTCTTGGGCCATGCTTAACGGAGAAAGAAGATAGCGGGGGGAAAGAATGGGACTTCGACTATAGCTGGAGTGATGTAGCACTGTCATCTAGTGGTGATGGTAACAACTTGGGAGGTGAAGGAGAAGAAGATGGAGAGGAAGAGGAAGAAGGGAACGATATAGGAGCTTTGGATTTCCATTTTTTTGATGATGTTGGATCTCCTTTTTACTACTCTCCTTTTGAGATTGCTGAAGATATTGAGGAGCCAGTGGAACCTGAGTGCTATGGAGATGAGCCTTCTATGCTTAAAGCAGCCATGAAGAGAATGAAATATGAGAGGAAGTTCTCAGCTTCTCTTTATGCTTTTAATGGAATCCCTGAATGCTTAAAGTTGAAGCTTGGATCAGGAAATGCCAAGGGAAAAGGACGTTCTGATCAATTAACAGAACTTCGAAATGCATGTAACGGTAGAAAGGAGGGGAATAGAGCAGAAGAAGAAAGCTTGGAAGTGATGCAGAAAGAGGATGATTACTCACAAAGCTCAACGGAGATGGGATCTTCTTCCTCTTCTTTGATTAATGATGGTGAATTGTCACTTTGGAACACTCTTGATCTACCGCCAATCTGCTTCATAAACTAATTGACAGAGGATCTTCCTTTCATATGCATTTCACGCTCAAATATATTAACCATCCCACATTCCATTTTTCGCAATTGCTGAACTTCAGATTTTTGTTGACATGTAATATTAGCTTTCTGGCCAACAACAGAAAGCACCTTTTAATCTTGTATCAAGTTCAGAATTCATGAACAGTTCAAGAAAATTCAGATGTATAGAGCTAAGAAGCATTTGAGGCTTGATTGAATCATTTGGACCGCAAGCAAAAAAAGAACTGTGTCTGTTTTGCTCTTTTAATTCTTAACCGATGATAATCACTTTGAAAGGATTAGTGGGGTGATTTTCATGAATTCTAGTTCTTGTTTCCAGTAGGAAAATCTAAAGATGGAAAGCAAAACGTTTTGCAGGAATTTAGGAATCTGGACTTAGCCTGAACATGAAGCTAGATAATCTCCTTTAGTAAAGCTACCTCATGATGCAAGAATTGAGGCTAAGAGTAGTGATGAACAATATCTGGCTTTCACCAGAGAAACCATTACAAGAAAGCCTAGGAAGGGATCTTAGTTTTACCTCGCTGGATTCTTTTCTGAGGAGGTAGCAGAGCAATGAGGTTTATGAGACAGAATATTATTGCATGAACTGGTGAAAACAAACTGCTATTAGGCAAAACCTATTCTCTAAGACTTCTACCATCTTCTTTTGGTAGGTTGGAACGTTTGGATTGCCATTCCAATACTCTTTAAGATGAAAAAAAAACCACGGCAGTTGGTTGTTTTGAGCAGAGTGTCAGGTATGAACTGGTGGAAACAAACTGCTATTAGCCAAAACCTATTCTCTATGACTCCTACCATCTTCTTTTGGTAGGTTGGAACATTTGGATTGCCATTCCAATACTCTAAGATGAAAACAAAACCACGGCAGTTGGTTGTTTTGAGCAGAGTGTCAGGTGAATGGTGCCTTCCACTTCTACCGAAACAAAAGCAGCACAGCAATAGAGTCAACTGTTGTTAAAAATGAATTGGCAAGTACGATCAAACCCTTTTCTTCCTTTTCATGGCCTGGCCACTTTACAGCCATAAACATGGCAGGAGCACCTATGCACGCTTGTTCAGGCGTTTTAGCCCATCATCCTGCGCTGAAGTTAGGGTAATGGGGTTACCACTCATGTCTCGTTTGTTTTCCTGGATTATCATCAAACCTTCCACGTATCCGCCATCAGAGCGATACTGTTTACGAAGGTGAAAACAGGGCAGGAAAAAAAAGAAAAAAAAACCATTCCAATACTCTAAGATGAAAACAAAACCACGGCAGTTGGTTGTTTTGAGCAGAGTGTCAGGTGAATGGTGCCTTCCACTTCTACCGAAACAAAAGCAGCACAGCAATAGAGTCAACTGTTGTTAAAAATGAATTGGCAAGTACGATCAAACCCTTTTCTTCCTTTTCATGGCCTGGCCACTTTACAGCCATAAACATGGCAGGAGCACCTATGCACGCTTGTTCAGGCGTTTTAGCCCATCATCCTGCGCTGAAGTTAGGGTAATGGGGTTACCACTCATGTCTCGTTTGTTTTCCTGGATTATCATCAAACCTTCCACGTATCCGCCATCAGAGCGATACTGTTTACGAAGGTGAAAACAGGGCAGGAAAAAAAAGAAAAAAAACAGGAATCTCCGTGGTTATATATGGCAAGAGGCATTCAAAGATTTGCCGTTCATCACACCAAAGACAATAGATAATTTTCAAGAGGATGACTTGCCATTCAAGTAATCGAAACACGTCTCTCTCTCTCTCTCTCTCTCTCTCTCTCTGAGATGATCCATCATCGGACCAAATAGAGCCAACAGTTAAGGTGTTCAACCAAAGCTTGCTCTTGATGCTCCCACCAAATATAGGCAGAGGCAGAACTAGAAAATCTTAACTGGGGTTGTCATCATAAAAACTATAAGACTAAAGAGCAAGGGGGCTAAATGCATAACTATTATGAAAAAAATTGAAAATTTAAGAGCTCAAATTAAAATTTTCTTAAAATTTTGGGGGTGCCAAGATCCCTCAAAGCTTGTCATAGAACTGCCCCTGCCCCTGCCCCTGCCCCTGCCTGTAGAGATATGGTCATATGTCCGTATATGATTTGCCAAAATCAAATGAAGAGAATCGTGAAAAGAGTCAAATAGTTGGGAAGGGTGACGGAAAATAGGATCAACAAAATAGCATAATTTTTATATGAGACCGTGATTTTTTTATATTAAAAAAACAAATTAAAATAAATTAAAATTTAAAATTTAAAATTTATAAAAAAATCAAATAATCTAAAAATTCATTTTGAACCATGTTTTTTTACCCAAAAACACACAAAAAAAAAAAAAACACACCACCAGCACTACCACCACCCTAAAAACCTATATAAACATGTTGCTCTCTTCAAAAATACCCAAAAAGCATTAAAAACAAATTAACACTCTAAAAACCTAAATAAACATGCTTTTGCCTTTAAAAAAACAAAAAAAAATTCCAAAAACAAAAAATAAACTCCAAATCAGAAAACTTTTTGATATTAGATTTATTATCATAGACAATTTCAAGATAAAATAACACACTGGTAGGACCATCCTCATTGATGAATTGTTTTGACACCAATATAAATGAAAAATAAGAAATATGAAATCTGGGATCAAAAGGGAATTTTTGAAAAACAAAAAAGACTACAATGGGTCAGTTACAAAAAGTTAGAGGACCAAAGTTGATGTTTTGGCCAATTTCAAAACCATCAAGTTTCTCCATGTTTTTCAATCTAATCCCCATCTTTCAATTTCATTGGCCATTGAAGGATCCAATTGAGAGAAAAAATTGTGAAAGAACGAGCAATAAACATTTGAGCTCTATAAAATAATTGCTATTGTCATTCTCAAAAGAATACTAATGGCGGTCCAATTTTGAGGGCTCATTTGAGAATACTAATTAATGGCGGTCCAATTTTGAGGGCTCATTTGAGCCTTTTAAGTCCAAATCACGGAAATGGATAGAAGGAAGAAAATTATTTGGAGCATCACTCAGTGGTGACAAACATCGGCTGTTGGGAGATGTCTAGCTGGATAGCTTGAAATGCATAATTACAATAACATGTGCATGCTCAATTATAGTTATCATAATGGCATAATTTCAAGAAAAGCAGCAAGATTCGGTTATCCTTTCTTAGAAATTATAAGAACAGAAATGGTTAACTTTTGAGAGAAATCCTAGTTAAGATAAAACCACTGTAAGGTGCTTTAACCATCTGCACTGTAGGATGGCCTCAAGCAACTACTACTACTCATGAAACCAAGGGAAAATTTAAGACATTAAAGACAGGCTAAGCCGAGAAGTTATATACATCATGAGTGAATTCCTACTCACAGGCATGACATGAGATCCATGGCAAAGGTCTTCTCGAAAGGCTACCTAAAGGACCCGGAGCTGAGCTAGAAAAGCTGCACAAAGATCCAAGAAGAGAAACTGCGGGCCCTGTACTCTTTGCAAGTCCAGCAGGTACTTCTCGTCACGAGTTTTGTATAGCTGTCACAGCCATTGAAATTGAAAAAATATTAGCCATCATACTCTGAATCAGCTCAATGCAACAATCTACAGAGCTATTGACATGAAAAATGATCCTTTATCAGCTGTGCAACATTTGGAAATGCCTAAATAGAAACAATGTTTAGAGCATCTTAATTCTCCAAGAAGGAAAGGCAAGAGAAGCAATCTCCACTATATCTTTTGTCCACACACCGTACCCAACAAGTTACAAACTTTCCTGTATAAATTCTTTCAAGGAGGCTCGAAATGCAATAATTAAAGAAGCAATCAGAATGGTTAACATCACCTGCACTTCAAACTTGACCACATTTGGTGAGTTAATGATTCCATCATTTTCAATAATGGTGGGTTCATCCCCAAAGAAATGATTGTAGTGTGCTGGATGGTTAACCATTCCTTCATGGTGACCGGGAGTGCCTGGAATCCACCTGCACTTCATATTGTACTGGCCAATTTTCTTCCAGCATACATTCAGTTCTTGCAAAGCTTTGAGAACTTCTGTCATTATTTCCCGAGGGTGGGCTCGAGACTGTCAAAGAGTTGGGGGAGAATATGATCAATTATAATTGTAACACAACCACAGGGAGTCATAATAAAGTCATTCACTCCATCATCATTGCACATGTTCCACAAACCATGACTTGAAATAGTTGCCTAGACTTCCCTAACATTATAGGTAAACAAGTAGATTTCAATTTCTTTGTTTATCATGTTACTTGTATAGGAAGGCATCACAAAACCTTGAACTCTTTAGCAGATCAAACAATCAAACCCCCTTCACTCATACTAGAAATTGATTCATAGCATCCGACACCATTGGAAACACCTAAAATGCCAAGAAACTTAACCTGAAGGCCAAGAGCCCATTTCCTCTCCACTGGGAACTGTGATTTCACGCCCATTCCTTGATAATCCATGAATCCTGGAAGGCGGTGTCCTCCAGCTGGAGACAAAGGTTCATTTGGATGCATTCGATTGAATGCAGTTTCCTATAAAATCCAGATAAAAAAGGGTCAAAATGAAAATGGAACCAAAAAGGAGTCCGGTGATTTTTTTCTCTGGTCAAATAAAAGGAGGGGGGGGAAATTGTTGACAGTAAAATATAACCATTGATCACAAAATGATTGAAACAGCAGTGCATGGAGTAATATCCCACTTTGGCACACCACATATGCACAAGATACCAAAATTTAGAGGTTTCAATCTTTTAAAAACCATTATCAACTCAAGATAACTTCCTACACCAAAAGAAACAATGGAGACACAAGTTTCTTCCTCTCTATAGTAAACTTGGAAACCAAACGCACCATAGTTTCTTGGAACTCAGCTCCAAGATAGCCATTGGAAACACGAAATCGATTGTCCAATAACAAATAGTAAGCAACAGTAGCCTGAAAAAAGCATGGTAAGTGATGAGGCCATATCTTAATATTGTATACAAAACAAGTTTTAAGAGATCAATCAGTGTCCAAACCTCATTTTGCATTCTGTTGCGAAGAGATTCAATAAGTTGGATCCTGTCAAATCCCATCTTGACAACATCCTGGAGAATCTCCTCGTCAATCTGCAACAATGACAACCAATGGTTCAATAAATTACTTGATAAATCTCTTCAAACATAAGGGAAAAAAACAAAAGACCAAACCTTTTTAGCTTGTTGCAATGTATCTGGTGGGGGCACTGCCAAATAACGGGGAAGGCGAGCTTGGAACCATGGGTGTTGACGAATTTCAGGAATGGTCATTCGCTTCATTGGATCAACCACAAGCATCCTTGGGATAAGATCTCTTGCACCGGGTGATAAATGGCTCGGAAGAGTATATATCCCATCCTAAAGAACAAAATGATATAGACAGAGAACATGAAAGTTAAATACATAGGCAAATGAAATGCAATAAAATGATCCTAATCTTAGAGAACTCACAATGGCCCATTAACTTAAGTTGTTACATAGATGAGCTCCTCCATATTACAAACCATGGCAACACTCCCTATCCTAACAACAAGTGATTCATATTCTTAGATCAAACTCGGCACATGCTAGTTGAGCCTAGCAAATGGCACAGTCATGATCAAATGCAAGAGAATCTACATGGAAGAAGAAGCTAAAAAGAACAAGTAATGTAACATGGGCCACAGCTGGACAGCTAGTGATAATATGTTAGAGAACTTATAACCAACTCAAAAGCTTAAGATCAGTGCCTCACTTAAATTCTTATTTTTATCTATTGGTCTAGGAATTACTGATTTTCTAAACTATTACGTAATGAGATCATAAATAACAAATATTTAAAATAAAGTGTTTGGCCTGGAAATTATATTGCAGAGTCTTCGAATCTAACAAAAAAGTTTCAAATAACAAAAAAGAACTCTGGGACACATAGCATTCAGCAGAAATACAAAATTCATGTCAAAGTATGCATAACTGAATCTATAAGATAAAAGTAATACATGGAAAATTAAGTCTACAAACTATATTAGCTCAACAATATTCTAATGATGTTGATGACCTGAAACCATGAGTGCATTGAGTGAAAGGTCATTAGTTATGCCCTGATCCTAGTCAAAAGAATTCCCTATACCTTTATTTTCTTAAAGAGGTTGGGAATGTTTTCATCATCAAAAGGTAGTGTACCGCAGAGAAGAGCATACAATATAACACCACAACTCCATACATCTACTTCAGGTCCAGCATACAGTTTCCCAGAAATCACCTGCAAAATAAATAAATAAATAAATAAATAAATCATGGCAATAATAACCTTCAAGGTAAAACCAATACATGGGCACCTGTATTTTACATGAAATAGATGGGTGTAAGGAGAAACTCCTTTTTTCAATTAAATCTTTATAACAAGTAAACCCACAACTCCATACCTCTGGTGCAGCATAGTTTGGGCTTCCACAACTTGTCTTAAGGAAATGACCATCACGCATTATATTGCTCAACCCAAAATCAGCTATCTTCACATTCCATTTAGAATCCAATAACAGATTCTCAGGCTTCAGGTCTCTATGAACAACCATATTCCTGTGGCAATATTCCACGCCTGATATTATCTGCACCAACACAGAATTTTGCACACTATAACTAAATTGCAAAAATGAAGGTAAGCTATATGAGGATTGTGATGCATGTTAGTAGGCACTAGTACTTGTTGGAAGAAATTCCGTGCTTCATCTTCCTGCAATCTACCCTTCTCCACAATATAATCAAAGAGCTCCCCGGACTTCACATACTCCATGACAACATATATGTCAGATGGTGTTTCTATAACCTCATAAAGTCGTATGATGTGGGGATGCATAAACAATCTCAAGATTTTGATTTCTCTTCTCACTGCAAAAGGGAAGAAGAGGGAGCACATGAGCAAATCAAAATGAACTGCATCAGTCGTTGAAAATTTGATCAAAACTATCATGCACGAGGAGAGGAAGAAAACCTTACTTCAACTCCCCAAAAAACTGTTAAAATAACCTCAGATATAAATCTTTATAATCTCGGTATTGCATTCTGTATTTCAGGTTTCAAATGACCTCCTTTTAATCATATAAATACTGTTAGTCACTATGGGAAAAATATCATCCATGCAAATCATGAGATGGGAGCATCCATCATCAAAGATAATGGAACAGCAGGTTACCCGAGCAAACCTGCTCATTTTGATAGAAAAAGTGTCATGGATCATCCATACCTTTTTCTTCCATCTCCATGTTTTTTATCTTACGACGGTTAAGTATCTTGATAGCAACTTTGTGCCCAGTCAATGCATGCTCTGCTATTTTTACCTTTCCAAAGGAACCAATTCCAAGAGTTTTACCAAGCTTGTAATTTGGTAAATACATATCTATACCACTGCTGCCTCTGTGAGATGGCCCATCCATTTTCCTATTAAAATGGAATGGAGAAACACATAAATTCCAAGAAACATGAAAGCAACTACACAAATATATCATGTGCTGCATGTATGCACTAGCATGTTGAGGTGGGGTTAGAACTGGAAGCATCAATAAAGCACATCAGCATGGCATTTCAAGGAAACTAGTTCAATATGAATAGAAGAGGTTGGCTTATAAAACAACATTTCATGCATATGTAGGAACAACCTTCAGGCAATGACACAAGTGCTAACTTATATGCACCAATCAACAACCCAATGTGTCACTTGAAATCAATTACGAAAACCAGGTATGGTAGCATGCTAATAACAGAGGCTTCAAGAGCACCTATATGAACAGTCTCCAGGTTCATTGTTGATAAAAACCCACATGTTGTGGGAATGGAATCAAATAATTGCCATGAAGCAATGGAACCATTCAGAATAACACCTCTAACAGCCTTTGATTGCCGGTAACAGCCACTGCAGCAATCAATGTGTCCCAGCCATTTCACTTGACACTGTCGATGTATTACTTTCAGGAACACACCGAGACATCTCTTAGTTATGCATATATTAAGCTCGGTTGCGAAAAACTTTAATCAAGTAATAAGGTAATGCAGGTATTTATTCATTTAAAGTATGAAGATATTCATTTATTGTAAAACTAATAAAACCTGTTCACTAAAGAAAAATTGTTAAGTTTGTTAAACAACTGAGCAATGGCAAACAGCCATGACCATTAAGCATCCCCCACAATCACCACGGCATCATGATCCTAACTGAAATTTAAAACCCTGGCTGTGGGTCCCACTGGTGGGGTTTCACGCTATGATTTCACCAGCAGTGAGATCTATAGAGCATCTAAATACTCACTTTAATACACAACTGCTTTCCCTATTATAAATTCTAATGTCCAAGCAGTTCCCTTATTTCCTAAGATTTTGAAGAAACAACAGCAGCCGATGAATAAAAACAGCATGCTCATAAGCAGGCATGCATGGTTACAATCCAATACAAAAGAAAGACTAAAGATCACAGATACAAATGAAATAAGGACAGTACAAAGACAATCACAAGCAATTTCAAAAACCCATTTAAACTCTTACAAAGCAGTAAAATTTACCAAAATATTAATCCCAAAGAATCTCATAAATCCCAGGATTTCACATTTCCAAGAAAGACAAGTTAATCCCTAACGCACACTCATAATTGATGATTTCATCCAATTCAAATAACATGCCAGAGAATTTTTAGCCAAATTGAACAACTCGACCTTAAAAAAAATAAAGAAGAAGAAAATCGAGAACCCATTAATAAAATAAAATAAGATTGGGAACTTATCAAAATCACATAAAATTAAGCTCTGATTGCACAGGAAAGAACAAAAAAATGCAAATTTGAATCAAGTAAAGAACCCTAGCTTCCACAGATCTTACATAAAACCATTAAAAAAAAACAAACAAACAGTTAAGCCAAACATTTTACAATCAAATACATACACGAACTTACCTAGAATGTGAGAATCCGAGCTCAAAAAAGAGAAGAGAGAGATATTGCAAGATTCTATAACGAGACAGTTGTAATCATGGATTAACGAGAATTATTATTTGTACTAAAACGTATGAGACTAATTACTTTTGTTGTTAATTCTCTCTTTCTCTCTGTGATTGGTTCTTGTTTGTGCTCTCTCTCTCTCTCTCTCTCTCTCTAGGAGTTACAGATTCTCTCTCTCGAGAAGACAACAAAATCCAACTTCATCTCTTTTCCCTTTTTTTCTCTCTCCTATTTTTCACCTTTTCATTTAATGACTCAAATTGCCCTCGGTGTCTTTGATTAATGGCAACGGTGGCCTGTGTGGGGCATTGTAATTCTTCTCAGGTTTTGGGGGTAACTATGGGAACGAAATGGTAAACGAGGAGTAGGTTGTGGTAGTATATTCTCCTCACAATAAAAGAGGTAAGAAAGAAAAAGATTGATTAGTGAAAAATTAGATTAGAAAATAAATAAAAAGAGATGTTTAAATTAAGCATAACAGGGTATTAGTAATTTATAGATATTCTTTTTTTTTTAATTTATTCAGAAAAAATAGATGAACGAAACGAAAAGCAGCTATGGATAGGTTCGTATGACAACACATGCTGAGTCACCAGCAGCAAGGATTTATGTTCTCTTGTCGTTTGATTTCAATTGAATGATGATTTCATATAAGAATTTAGATATTCATACCACATTTCTTTCTTTTTTATGATAACAATATTAACCCAAGAGAGAAAAATAACAATATTTCAACAATTATGTTGTCCTAATGTGATTTAATATGATTCAATGATCATATTATTTTATTTTTGAAAAAAAAAACATTTTATTTATTTAACAAAAATCAAAAGATAAAGTTAAATCATGAAGTCACATTCATGAAGCAATATTTATTATAACAGTGTTTTGTATTTTTTATTTAATCTAGCCCTTTAAAAACTTGATTTTATTTTTTTAGCTTTTTTTAAAAAAAAATTATCATTTAAAATTTTTTTATTTAAACTGTGCTTAATTGCTTAATAGTTTTTTTAATTTTTTTGTCGGGTTATATATTAATCTCATGAATTTAATTTAATTTTTTTATTTTAGCTTTCAACAATATATTTGTTGGAGATGGGGCTTTATTTTTTTATTTATTTTATATAAATCTATCATGATCTAATGATCCAGCTCGCGAGTTTAATTGGTTAACTCGAATTAATGCGGGTTGTTTTTTTGCTCTTTTTCTAATTGATTTTTTTGATTTCATCATTTAAAATAGAGTTGGTTGGAAATTGAACTTTATAATTATCACGAGTTTAATTGGTTAACTCGGATTGATGCAGGTTGTTTTTTTGCTCTTTTTCTAATTGATTTTTTTGATTTCGTCATTTAACATAGGGTTGGTTAGAAATTAAACTTTATAATTATTTTTTATTTGTTTTTTTAGATTGTACCGATCTCAATACATGGATTACAAGTTTAGCAAATTAATTTATGTCAGCTATTTTTTTTTGTGTATCCTCTTTTAATTGGCATTTATAATCTTTTTATTATTATTATTTTCTATAAAATTATCTTAAAAATAGAAATTATATGATTGGTGTGATACAATATCACGTTGAATACATATATATGTTGATTCATTACTCATTATTGAAAAGTTGATCCAATATGGTCTCATTTAAAAACCAGGCAACTTATGTATGTTTTTTAAAAAATATATTTATTATTAATAAAGATATGTTTTATCTTTGATATTCATTTATGTTTGATTAATGCGTTTATAGTAAAGATAATTTTTTAAAAAAAAATATTTTGTAAAGAAAATTATAAAGTGGTTATAATTATAAGAACTTCTATTGCATCAAGGCATTATTCTGAATTGTTCATAGTCAATACTCTATTAAGACTATATATGAATTTGAGCTATTGAAACATGTTAATATTATGTTCTTTTCTTTGTTAAAAGAAATAATTATTCTTATAAGTTGAAGTGTGAGTGATATCTCTAACTAATATATAGGCGTTTGTCAATTGACATGTACAATGACCTGACTTATATGAGAATTTCATATGGAGAGATTACATGTGTCTCTATAAAGACTCATACGATAATTATGTAAGTCAATTTTATATTTAAGATCATTAAGTTTTCTTACATAGAGAATACAATGTTTTGATCTTGACTAGGTATTTTCTTAATCAAGGATAATAAATGAGTAAATATTGGATAGGTTATAAATAATATTAAGATATTTGAGTGATCAAAAGATGATTTATTATTCTAGATGAATTAGAGAAAATATATCACCTATTCTTAAATAATATTAATTAAGAAATCCTTATATAAGGTTAAATGAACAAATGACTATAGTGTTTAAAACAAATGTAATTTAAGAAAACAGACACACTTCATGCTCAAATATCTAAATTGAAATATTATTTATGATAAGATAATAATTATATTGAGAAACTAGTCACTAAAACATTAAGTTAAACCACTCATAACTTTCCTAATATTTAAAAGATCATGACACATTACTCAATAGTGCACCTGATCTTTAATATAAATCAATTAATTTGTTAAATTGATAATAAGTTAAATTATCTAATTTATTTAATTCTATTTTATTTAGGATTGTAGTTTATATTTGGACCAATATATTAGGCACATAATAGGTCATAAAAATTAAGAACTATTAGTAAAAAATTAAACTTTGACAATAAATTTATTAAACTTGATTGTAAATAAGTTTTAGAAATTGAAAACTAAAATATAATTTATATAAGAGATTACTATTCTAGACATAGAAAAATCAAGTACGAATTTGATTGCATAAATTTCTAAAACTATTATAAAATAATATATATGATATTTTTTAGGAGGTAAAATGATTTTTTTTCTCAGTAATAGGTTATTAGATTTTTTTTTCTATAAATAGAATACTATGTCTCATATTTCTTTCAACATATTATGCACTTTTTACACATCAAATACAGATATACATATAAACGGATATGAGAAAAAAAAGAAAGAAATATCATTCAAGACATAACAATTTTTATCTCTTAAAAGAATTTTAGAATATTTTTGATTTGGTGATTTGTATGAATTATTATTAGAAATCGGATAATTAGATGATTTATTACTTGTAATAACCTTGTTCATTGTTTTTTAGATAATCTTCACACAAACTTTAAAGGGTCATAAATTGTTTAATAGGATTATTAAGACTCCTAAATGTTTTTTTTTAAAATAAAGTTGTTATTGTATTTATGTATTTTAGAAAAACCAATAAATATGGATATGGGTTCATCTTTGATTTGAACTATAACATTCTTAACTTTTAATTTCTCATTATTGATTTTTGTCTATCATTATTCAATATAAAAGCAATGATTTTTTTTTTATGATTTTAATAAGTCAAATCTTAACTTGACATTTTAATTATACTAACATTTTGATAGAATTTCCCCTAAATTTTTAGTTTTTTCAAATGTTGACATCTTTCGTTATTCACAATTAACATAGCTCAAACATTCAATCCAATTATTCTAGATTATTTTCATATTCCACATAATCATTATGACTTTTATTCTTCCACATTATAGGTATAACCAATAACCAAAATATAAAAAAGTAGTAAAATGAACAGACATTCTTTATTTAAAATAAAAGGTGTTGATTATGTAGTGATATTACTACATGATCATAAGACTAAAATATTATATGCTATTAGCATTGAAATTTAGATACACATTAAAATATATTTTTTTTAAATTAAAATACATAAAAAGTTTACAGAAATTCCTATTACAACTTTAATACTATTAAAAACTAAAGTAATTTATTACTTGGAACGACCATGAGAAGATCCATAAACCAATTTGATTATTTAATGATAAACATTATCTAATGACCAATATAATAAAATGAAGTTATATATATACTCTGTATCCGATTGTATACTTCAATGATATCTCATTTACACAGTATCTTTATTTTTTATTATTGTCATTTAAAATTTTAAATAACATATTATCCCAGCTATTTGATACTCTAATACCCCTAGCATCACTTAGATGCTAACCATTTTTATTCTCGGTCATCAGAGTTATTGACATCTCTAGAATTCAATTTTGGTCGTTAGATTCATTGATGTTTTTGATACCATTCAAAGTATTAGTCAAATTCTATCCCGATCATTAGATTTACTAACGCCTTTAATAAGGTATTAGTCAAATTCAATCATGATCATTAGATTCATTAATGTCTTTAGTATCACTCAAGATACTAGTCAAATTCAGTCTAGTATCCTCAACATAGACCTACGCAGGTACTTTCAGAATTTACCATTATCTAATATTCAAAACTATAATATATAAAAGATTTATGAGGGTGAGAATAACACATATTTGGTGCTAGTGCTCATATTATTGCTCCTAACTATTTCTCTAACCCAATAGCTTCCTTTATGTCATTATGGTTATGATTCTTATTAGAATTATAATCATTAATAATATCTTAATTATATTCTCATTCAAATATAAACAAGGAAAAATTCCCAGAATTCCATATACATAAGTATTTCCTTTATGTTTATACTCATTCTTGTAATTTCCATGTTAGAATTATCCACTACCAACAATTCCAAACAACATTTGAAATTTGTAAAATCTTGATTGGTTTAGTCTTTTCAAACCCGAAAATTATTTGGTATTTCAATTATATAGAGAGTTTTATAATTTTGTTTTGGACATGGTTAGTCTTTTTAAAAAATGACATAAGGCTATAAGTTCCAAGAAAAAATAAATGCCTAGTTCTGTCATTAACCCATCCAAAATTACTTTTATTATTAGCACACTCAATAGCCCTACTTAAAATCCAATTTGACCCTCCTTCCATTATTAGTCTATAATGGGAGTTTTATAACTCTAAATTGCACAAAGCCATTTTTCATTGAAATTTAACACCCCGAACTACAACTTTCATAAAAAGAAAAAAGACATAGCTTTAAATATAACCTAGGTGACAAAACTATCATAATTTCAGCTTACAAGTTTAAAACACAACCAAAATATTTTTATGTGTTTTTTCATCATTTATGGCAACCAGTTCCATCCTACACACCACTTAACATCATTTATATATATATCTTCTTAAATTAAATCTGATCATATCTATTCTTTTATTGAAATGGTCTATAATGGAAAAAA